TCATCCCTTTCGCCCATTCTGGCATGACCGCACCTGAATGCCATGTTGTTCATAAATGAGTTATTTGTTAGCACCTTTTTGGCCTGTTGCACCGAAGCAAACGGGAGATTGATTCGTCGATCAACGACTGTCATGCTCTAGACAACACCTGTCACATACATGAAATCGAACTCGCTACCTCCAGTGTTTAGGCCGACATCGTTAACACAGTACCATTGCACCTTCAGCGTCTGTCGCTCACTATACGTAATACTCAACATTCTACGGTTGCAGCAATGAAATAATGTTGTTATGAGTAATATTAATATCAAACTAAATGCTCAATGCTTTAATCCCTTTTAATTTTTGATACCGGATTGAAACGGCGTAAACGTTGTCCCATTGCTTCTAGTCACCTGGATGTCCATTTTTAAGGCCACGGCTCCGTAGTCCTTGAGCATTTGCAGTACGTGATGCAGAACCGCATCATTAGTCACGGCCGAAATAGGGCCTGTTAAAACTCCTGCAATTGTGCCACGATCCGCAGGCATATTTACGCACAAAAATAGGACCCATTGTTTTGGGTATACTGGCATAGTGCTAGTTATTGATACCGCCACTAAGATATCAAAACTAAAAAGAATTAAATATCTTAGCGACGGTGTCGATAACTGGCAGTATACTAGTAAACACATAATATCGGGTTTTAGTTTGTGTGTTAATGCTCAATGATCACTACTTTTCGAGCAAAACATCAAATCGTGCGATGATAAAAAATATGGCATTACTGCTATCACAGTGAACCGAAAAAGTCTGATTTGAAAGAAACTCAGCGCAAATATCAGAATGGTGCTATGTATCAAATGCTGTTCATTTTGAAAGAACAGAACAAAAATAGGGTGAGAGCAAAGTTTCAACCAGCTTCTAACTTCATCAACCGTTATGAAAATCTTGAAGTTAAAAGCATAAATGGTCATCATCCCAACTGACATAAACCGCTCCATATGAGCAAACGTTTGCTAAGCTTCCTATGCTAAAATATTTCGTTAACTGCAACCTTTTTGTGCAAGAAACTTTACGAGTTTCAATGGAATTGATTGAAAACAGCTTGTAATACTGTAATTATTCTTGGTCAAGATTATGAAAGTGACAGCTAGTTTGCTGTTCTTCGGTTAGAAGAAGCGCTGGCAGTTTTGGCAGTTGACTCCATAACACACATGAGGTAAAAACATAATCACAGATAACTGTTATCCGTGATATGCACATACATGAAGCTTCTGCCCAACAAACTCTATTCACGAAAAACTGAACATAATTGAGTATTTGGGAGGGTAAGGGAACAGTGATGCAGTGAGAACGTCATTTTCTTTAAATCTGAGGTCAAGTTCAAGTTCCGGATGTGGAGTAAAGCTTGTCTTATCAACAGACGATTTCCTTGAGCAAGGAACTCACCCTACACTGCTTCGGCGCGACTAGCCAAGAGACGAGTAACAGATCGCTGACTGACGCATGGTAAAAACAGCATGGTCATACTGAGGCATGTGAGATACAAGATTATTGTGTCCGATGTATATCTGCTGCTGCAATTCGTCATTACTCACCTGATAGCTGATCAAATCAGCACTACGTGTCGATGGTACAGAAATAAATAAATTCAGAAATGGATTGTGTAACTGCATGTCTAACTTTTAGACTTCGTATAAAAAGAAGCCTTTAATAAATACGAATCTGGCGTATACCGAATAGACTAGCATGATCGTTTATCTTAATGTCATTGTTACCGGAGAATTCTCGAGCGTAAATTAAAACCAAGTTGTTATTCAATTATTGTTGTTGTTATTGCCATTGCTTTTTCGCTCTCCTGCCCGTTGCTTGATATTCAAAATAACTTACCAACTAATGGTTAAGGATAAGTTAAATAAGACAACTGTAGCTACAGTACTTCAGTTATAGCTACTA